ATTATAAGTATTTTAATTCAATCAATATACTGAACAACAAATATTCATTGTTTAAATCTTCTCGTGCGTTGAATGCGTATAAAACGTAAAACTTAAATAGTCCATTGAAATTCAGTCTTTTGATGTGGATGTTCCAAAATTCTAAATTTTACCACTTCATGTGCAATGTTGAATTCTGCTTAAGCCGGTGCTAGGGGGCGTGGACGGTAGTTTGCACTTTACAGTTCCGTCCATGAACAGACTCAATCAAACCGAGCCTGCAGCATTTTCAATTTTGCCGTGTTGGGCTTTCTTAAGGGATTCTTATTTCTCTCTATTCTGTACTCTGCAAGAATAATGGTTTATGAAAAGTTTTATTTTAAATTAATGAAGCAAATATTTGAAAAGAATCTTGAGAGTAGATACTTAAATGTGCAATAATTATCTGTTATTTATTTTAACTGCGTTAAATTTATATATTGCTATTTTTTTATGAGCACATACAAGCTGCTTTTTCATTTGCAATTAAAAAAGACAAAAGAGTAAAACGTTACGTTACAACAAATCATTACTGTATGGGTAATGTGGACAGACAGACATTACAAAAGCAATATAGAATGTAGATGTAACGATTACTCGAACACGATTAAACTTAATTCACATACAATAAGAAAGCAATACATCAATTTCAAAGTGCTAGATATAAAGTATAGTTTACACATAACAGGTACACATAATTATCAAGAAGTTAAGAATATATGACAGAATATCGGACCAGAGGCAGAGAAAACAAAAGAAGTACACTGAATTTGTGTTTAAAGTTTTATGTAAATTAGCTTACTTTTTTATCCAAGTGCTACACTGAGATAATACATGCTCACTGGTTGACCTGGTTTGCACAAAAGAACAAGTGGTTATGTTTGTGTGACTGTTTGCGAGCAGTTGACCTAGCAATAAATTGGAAAGCTCTGGCTTAATGTTCCGCTACGAAAAACCGGAAAGGTCCATTGAAAGATACTTCAGTACTAACGATCGAATTAAAAAAAAATAGAGTTGTGCAATATTTTCAATATGTATATACATTTAATTTGTCTCAGCGAGAACCTGTAGGTTATTTTAGTGAGATTTTCCGAGACAGTACCGGTATTTGAATTTGCAAAGGAAGTAAAAATTAGGACTATATCATATTTGCAAATACGCTTAAAATCATTTTTCCATATCAGATTCTTCAAAAATATAACATCCGGTCGATTTTTCATAGCAACGGACCGCGTCGTTAAAAGGTCAATTGAAAATTTACAATCATAACTTAAGGATATCAGCTCTTTCGTTGATATGTGATATTAGCACATGTGATATGCCAGTTGAAGTACTCCAATATCTCATATTTGACTAATCGGTCCCTATAAAGTGTCTGAATTGGTATCGAAAATTAATAGGCTGTCCAGTTGGCTCAATAGGTAGAGCGTTAGACTGTAAATCGGGCGACCCCGGGTTCGATTCCCAGACGGCGCAGGTCACTTTCGTTATGATTGATCATGAAATCCTTTCTATGGTCATTCACACTGTACCTCTACTCTGGCATGTACAGAAGTTTCAGTTCCTTGCGAAAGTGAAGACAACTAGTACTGGTAAACTGCTTGACAGCCTGCCCAGGAACGATGCGGTGGCTAAACCGTGCTGTGGTGAATTCAATGTCGCTTACTATCGTGATCCGGAGTGAAAACTACCAACAACACCACCATCGAAAATGTAGCTTGTGATGGAGATAAAATATATGTTTATTATTTAAACAAAACACACAGGTACTTACAAAACTATTTACACAACACACTAGTAATATAGTAACTTTCTTGTGGGGGAGAGTCAGGTTAAAGTACATATACTTGTGGATAACAAGCGGCCACACTAGACGTGTATGGTTTGTATAAAGTGTCATTTGCTTCATTTTATGCAGACAAATTTCGTAACATGGTCAATTGAATATTGACTTTATCACATACCCGTTCTACGAATAAATGTTTCAGCACAAGTGCGTTAATATATGCTCAAGTTAGGTTTGACCGTAACATAGGCTGAACATTGAAAGCATCGCAGGTACGTTTACATAAGTGTGCGAAAACGAATTTCCAAAGCAAATGCAAAAAGTATTTAGAACACATTGATAGCAATAAAAACATACACAAAAGATGAAAACTTTGCAGATTCGGTTTGATTGAGTCTCAATGGGTTCCAAGCTTTTCTACCTTCAACACTAAAAGTGTTTGAATCAATGATCACAAAGGACCAAAAATATAACAACATTATTACTTTTTATCACATAAACAACAGCGCAGGAGATTAATTAAACAATTTTATATAAACGATAATTCACTTAATAAACCTTCCTTGTCACGACTTTTGAACATTGTTATTTACATGTGTAATCATTATTTTTGCTAATAAAATAGTTAACAATGCCATTTAGAATTAATCAATATTTGGATTTTAACGTAGTTTTAACCTGTATGTTGTAGACACTTTAAAATGTATTACAATATTGAAATTTATATGTTTGAGGCATGTTAAGAATTTTTTCGGTTAATAATGGATTCTTTTTGCTTTTTTCTAAAGGACATCTAAAGGACATGGGGCGTCTGTGGCCAAGTGGGTAAGGTCGTTGATTCTCAAACCACAGTGGGAACGAATCCCGACAGGGACTTTGAATTCTTTCATGTCAGGAAGCTATCCAGCTAGCTTACAGAACGTCGGTGGTTCTACTCAGGTGTCCGAAATCATGCACGGTAAGGCACCTGAGGTCTTCCTCCAAAAGTAAAGCTGGAACATCGCCATTTGACCCATTATGTGTCGGTGTGATGTAAAAACCAATCAAACAAACAAACAATAAAGTTTCCTTTTAAAAGGAAAGGCTTGCTCAGTGTGTCATCATCCCTTCCCTTTAAAATTGTGGTTTTTTTTCTTGTTTCAATTTATTATGACAATTTTTTTTGAATTACGGTATTTGTATATCATAAAGGGTTTATATAGTTTTTTCTCGAAAAAAAAAAGTTTCACTTTTAAAGGGATAGGTAGGGTAAGCCCAAGACTGGACGAGCACCTGTGCCCATTTGTTTGAGCACCAGTGGTTATGCGTAAATAGGGACCAGAAGTCCACTGTTTATAACTGAACGGGAACATGCTGACGATAACAGTTGCAACTTTTTTTGTAAAGATGAATATTTTTTTGTCAAAAACGATTTGAAATCTATTCTCTATTAAAATAATCAATCGTAAAAAATAATAACTAACATTGGCTCTCACGTGGAGATCAATCTATCGTACTGAAGGACATTTCATTTCCACTTTTTTCGCAGAGAGAGTTATTCGTTTTGGCAGTTGCTAATTTCATTTCTATAGCAGCTTTAGAGACTAGTGAATGCACTAAAAGACTTCGTTACGTGGTACCAATTAATAAGCATGTATCAACAATGTTACACCTAAAATATCTATGGACAGATCAGCACATGGTAAGCTTAAGGTTAATGATATGCATCGGCTATTTTATTAGATTACCTCAGCAAGACGTTTAAACTATGTCAGTAGATCTAAATATAACTTGACCTTGCACTAATATTCTGCGTGATTCGGTCACGATATTTTGGTAAACAGGACCACCCTTTGGAGAGGGAATAATACTACAGTAACCATTCTCTATTTTATAACACTAATAAAGACAAAAACCAATTATAAAAGAAACTAACATTTGCGTCTTGAAAAAGAATTTAAACGGAATCAAGTAAAAATAGAAAAACAAACTTGGATTTCCAAAGTAACTAAAATAGCTTAGATTTCCGTAATATTACTTCGTCTGATTCCGCAGTATGACGGAATCGCCCGAATTGTCACAATTGCAATTGGAACAACCTCGGCTATTATAATTAATCCAAAGAGTGACGGAAAGGGCCGAAAAGTTGCGATTGGCACGATTGCAACTGGTTTCCCGTTCAATCATGCACTAACAAATGTAAGCAGGAAACCACCTAACCGGAACAACTTTTCCAAAACAAATTTGGTTTGCAAGCCAAAAATAAGGAAACATCTTTAATTATAGACTTTGTGTGGACAAGAAAGTATTCGATCAAACTTATTTTTATTATAATAATTGACTTCACCAGGAACCTTGGAATTATATTTGATTTTGCTTTGGCTGGAATTTAATCAACTTTTCAACAAATTGGGGGAATATTTTACCAACAGACTTAAAGTGAAATTGACATTCAGCAGAAAATATGATAACACCTGATAATAACCACCGACGTTCCGTAAGCTAGCTGGATAGCTGCCTCATATGAATGAATCTAAAGTCCCTATCGAACCCATAGCGGTAAGGGGCAAATGGTATAAAGTTAATTACCTTTATCACTCGGCCTTGGACGCCCTTTAATATTTATGTAACAAAGTGTAAATCAAAAAAAGAAAGGAGGCTTTATTGTTGTGCGAAGAAGTGATTTTAAGCCCTTTTCTGGTAACCGACTCAAATTTAATAGTGGTGTTAAGGCAAACTTCGAAGTTCGAGTTTTTAGATTGTGCGCGTGTACAAACTGGTTCTGATGTTAAGTGATGTATAGCAGCCGTAAAAGGTTAGTCCTACCTTGATCTCAGTGTTGTCGTCGTGATTATTGATTACAATATTTTAAATGTTAATGAATGAATACCGCTTGTTAGCGCTTGGGATTTTAGCGCTGGTGCACTTTTCATTATCTCTCCGATACATACACAACTGGTGCCCGCAATTGTCCACAATACATTATAGGTTGTTTTTGCTCTCGAGGGAACCCCCTCTCCAAAGTTTTAGACAATATGTCTAAAAATATGGTAGGAAATGTATTTGATACAGTTTGACACTGCTGATTGATCCGCGGGAAGATTTGGAGCAGTTCGTAAAAATGCGTTACAAACGTTAAAAAAATATTTAATCAAAATTTCGTGCTTTAAGATGTAAAAGAACTACTACACATATTCGAACTTTTATTTTCCAACATTTTTGGTTGTTCTGCATTTGTCAGTAATGATTCCGTTTCCGAGATATCACGGGCGACACACCCTACTTAAATTCACAGATACAGTGGCACAGGATTAAAATCATGTTCCAGTTTGCTAAAGAAGTAAATATTTATTCACCTCTGATGGATAATTTGCCTTTTAATGTTAGATATAATACATGTTATGCTAGTTTATATGAATAATAAGGTTGATATTCTCTTTTTATTTCCAGATATGTTATAATTATCAAATTCTGGTGTATATTGATAAATTGATAATACTAAGACAATATAAGTTTACGTAAAGTTTATAAGAAAAGTTTATTCGTTATAGAATTGGAGACAAATATTAGAACTTGTCCCCTATATACAGTGAAACAATCAATACAATTTGTTTTACAGGCAACAATTTTGAGAAACTTGCAAAATAGATAAATACAGAATCCCTAAAGAAAGCTCAACACGGCAAAATTGAAAATGTTGCAGGCTCGGTTTGATTGAGCCTGTTCATGGACGGTACTGGAAAGTGCAAATTACCGTCCACGCCTCCTAGCACCGGCTTAAGCAGAATTCAACATTTAAACGTGAAATAGTAAAATTTTGAATTTAGAAACATCCAAGAGGTTCAGTACTCGGGGCATGTTACAAAACAGCCCACATAAATAAAAATATATAATGTCCACCAAAATAAACTAGAAACCTCGCGAAACTTATTGCATTGACTGAAAGAGGTCTAATAAATGTTGAACTTCAATTTTAAGGAGACATGTAGCTCCTGTTGTTTTTAATTATGATAGTTTATATAAACCGCTTAAATATTTAACTTAAGGGTTTTTATAATCGAGCTTCTTTTTTTAAATTAAAAATAGCAAAAGTAAGGCAAAAATAAATTTACATTCAAAAATTCAAGAATTTATTTACTGTAAAGTAAGGACATAATAGAATTTCCGTGTTATAAAAAAACGCTTTAAATTTTCACAAAGTTCTGCGCAGATCTCAACAGAATTTCCTCAAAGACAGCATTTTTTTTACCTCACTTAAGGAATGCATTGCACGGTATTCCTTTGCAGCGATTTTACGCTTGAGTAGGACCAGGATTTTAAAATATTTTTATTATATCCGTCTGCTTCTGTTATATTTGCAATCATTTAAAAAAAATATTTTAAAATGACGAAAATTATATGATTATAACACTAAGATCTTTTTTCAGAACTTTACTTGTGCGTTGGAAGTGACCTATATTATCACTTTAAAGGAACTTAATATACACCATAGTGTAGAAAATATTTAAGGAGCAGAATGTTTTGAGTTTTTTTAGTTACTTTCGAACCGATTTCTTATTCAGTCAAATTCACAAACACTACTCATTGCAACATTACATGGCGCATCGTTCCACTTTTTCCGCTTTTGACTGGTGACATGTGTACTGCCAAATACGCTTAAACAATTTTCTTTGCCATCAAGATTATTTGGTTCATGTAATAACCAGTTTTCGAAATATTCATCAACTCTGCTCCCATCTTCCCAAATGAAAATATGTTCATTTTGAATTACTGTTGCTCCAATCCATATACTTTCTTTCAACACTGAAACAGAAACATTAACATATTGCTGAATACGAGAAGAATCTATCGGTTTTAACATTTACATAAATATAATGCATTTAACAACGCGTCATTTATAGCGTATAAAATTAACTAATAAATGATTCAACTTATTCTTGTAATCTTATTATGCGATAAAATGTTTAAAAATAAAAAAATACTTACCTCCAAGTTTGTCTATGAATGCATTTTCTTCCTGTGACTTTATGTCTAAAAGATGTCCCCCAAGCTCCGAACAATGATTCTAAAATGGATATTGTATAATTGTAACAAATATTTCCTTCAGTAAATGAAACAATATATTTCAAGATATACTATGCTCAAAGTTGATATTTGAAAATATTGATGATGGTTACACAGTCTTTTTGAAAAATTAATATAGAATACGAATGCTTTAATTTTACGCAAAGAAGATATATTATGCTTTAAATCCTACACACACTATGAATATGTAGTGTCATTAAAAAACAAGCATTTTTTAAAAAAGGACTAGCTTTTTAATAACAACATATTCAGTAAGATTGTTAAAGATTTCAAGAAATTTTCGCAATAAAATTATCTTTATTGGCCCAAAAAGCCGAAAAAATTAACAACTAAGGAATTTTATTTTTAATTAACAATATTTATGTTAATAAGGTCTCCAAGATTTTGACTACTATGTAAAATAATGTTATGGTCATGATCAAATGACCCGTCATAATTTGAATGGTTATATTTCGTTTTGTTTGAATCCGAATCACTACTCCTTTCACCTTAACTTATTCTACAACGCAAATCCATAGTTACCAAATCTATCAAAATATAAATGCAAAATAAATTGAAATCGAAATAATTTCGTCGACAATACATGCGTCGACAATACATGCGTTGTTTTGTTTGATGAGCAGGGATTTCACTCAAAAATAACATCAAAGTTGATATTGAAAAAATAAAATTATACATGTACATTAATTTATTCTACCTTCGCATCAAACCATTTCTTCTTTTCTGTAACTACCAAGTAAGCTGAAATATATAAATTCAAAAAACAGAAACAAATCAGTTAACATTTGATTAAAAAAAGATACAATTAAAAATAAAATTAAAGAAATTTTGCTCTCTGATACTAGTACATAGCATCTCGCCTGCTGATTTTAAGTAATGGATTTAGCTTTGAATTTTGAACAGTCCATACAAAGTTAGGATTTCTATATAAATATACAAAACTTGAGCAACCAACAAATTATATATAGAGACCGGCAAATCTGCAGGGTTGTAAAGACTACTAAGCGTTGGTGATGCATTTCATTGAAGAATTTTTTGCACTAAGAAAAAGGCATTTAGATCATCAATGCATTGAAGTGCAAACACTTTTGTATAGTTGTTAAAAAAATTATTATAAACATGATTAAGATAATGATGTAATCTGATATATGTCTCAGATATAATACCACCACGGGTGCCTTATTATAAAGATCTGTCGCATATTCAACGTTTTCACAACAATTATTTAAGAAATTTTTAGATCCTGCTATCTTTTATAACGGATCTCTATAACAAAAAATGTAACGCTAATTTTTTTTAAACAAAGCATATGGAAAACATAATGTCTCTCCCTCGTATATAAAAGCGCGAGATATGGGTATTCGTTAAAATATATGCCTCTATAAATCATTATCTAAATATGTTATAGCTCATATTATTTTGATATTCATGAATGAAGTATTGAAATAAACTTGTAAACTCTGTATTGATGGGTGGGTTTATTGGTTCGTTCAACATTTTTTTTGTCTAAAAGTTTCCCAACTTTACAAGAGATGTTTAACATCTTTTAATTCATGAAATACATTTACATTTTTTTCATTGCATCATGTCCATCTTTGATATTTGTAATTTTTTTATTTAATGATAAGGTATTAGAATTAGAAAAACAAGTTACATCGACGTCTAAAGAATGTCGTGCCGAGGAGTGCTGGAACGTCGTCGCTTGTTAGATACTTGTCCTTGCAGCCAACACATCGGGAACTTTCCTGATGAAGAAAAACACTAAAACATCCTTTGAAATCAGCACATGTTGCCAAACATTGTGATATACTCATCTTATCTTTGAAATATAATGCATGCTGCTCTGGACAGATAAATCCAGCAAGATCAGATTCTTTTGTGAACTTGATGAATTTACTGTTATTTTCACTGAGTGTGATGACAAGCGACACACAAAACACGACAAAATATAAACAAATACGAAATTGATTTATTTGCATTATTAGTAAATAACTATATCCTTAACTGTTAAAATATCATAACGTGTGGATAAGATGTTTAAAAATTGTTTAATTGTTCAAATGCTAAGTATCCAAGAACCTGGTGAATTTAAAATTAGCTAACTATAGCTCTTTCCTTTATAACTAAACTTTAATCAATAAAATGATGAAGACCGGCTTTTGCAAATTTATCATTAACTATGAGGTAAGCCCATCCCATCATGAATATTTCATTGGAAATAAATCTCATTTCTTGCCTCAAACATTACGTATCACAATATTGTATTTTATTGTAACATGTATGTGCACATATTACAATTACAATAAATATTGTTAAATTCTGTTATGAATTCTTTCTGAATTCCATAACTGTAATTTGCCTGTTAAGAATGATTCTGATATTGGTATTTGCCAATTTTTGAAGCGCGTTTTCAAAAAAAAAACTACACAGGTGTTACAGTATTTAAATGCGGAAAATAAAAAACACAAACATGCAGAATAATTCAGACACGTTACTAACAATCAAGTATCCTAAACTCATTTGAGATTTTTTTTCGGTAGCTGACTACAAAACTGTCACAATCATATCACTAAACTTCAAATAAAGATGAGCTAGAGTCCATTATCGTTCATGTTGTAACATAACCACCATGAAACGAATAGCAACATGCAATAGGATGTAAATTAACAATACCAAAATATACATAAATATAAATATACATAAATATACAAATAAAATATCGTATTGATAAGCGTAGCAATTTAACTTCCCTTTGATGAACTATCTTAACTGTTATGATTTTAATCATTGAAAAGAAAAATCTTATTTAAATAATCATTGAAATGAGCTGCTGTGCTCAATAATTTATATCAGAGAAGAACTTTAGAATTTGACCAATCTTTATTCATTTAAATTATAACATTCTTAGACTAATACTATCTTCAGAATATTTACTTTTGAATTGTATTGCAATGAAAATTTAATTTTGAATAATAGAATATACTATATAAATATTTCATTTGCTCGAAGGACATATCTCATGATGAACTTCCTCGTGCCTATCACAACTCTCGTTTCCGCACTATATCAATCGAATGTTACAAGAGATATTAATTACAGTACGCTATAATAAAGGGATAACTGTTTAACCCATTACTGTATGAGCATTTTGTGCAAATTGGCTGTTTTCATAGAGAAGTCTCCAGTTACAAGTTCAAATTGCTATAAAACTATAAAAACTGCTTTAATACTAATCAAACTTTGCACGAATGTTGACTGGACCATTGTCTTTGATAAAACATGCTCAGTCTTAAATTTCCTGTTACGATGGCAACGAGGGGACATCTCAAAATTGCCAAAAATCACTATTTTGCGTTGATTTTTTTCCATCAAAATTGTTTTCAAAATGCTGAAACTTCTCAATTGATTGAGATAGATTCATAAGCTTGTTAGCGCTGGTGACACGTTACCTTATTATCGACTTGGTGTCGTTTTTAGCCTCTCAGAAGTCCAAAAGACTGCCGCCCACCTCAATCCTGTCAGTATCCTTGAAAATGACGATGAGGATGTCCCACCTTGGACTTATAATTCCCCTGAAATAAATATTAACCTTTCAAATATAAAAAAGACATCAAATTCACATGAACATTTCAAAGAAAAGTTTCTAGCAATTAAGGAAGAACATGAAAATTTTACACATGTTTATCCGGACGGTTCAAAGGAAGGTTGCAAAGTAGGTGCGGCTGTGTATGAAAATGATTTTACATCTAGTATGAGGTTACCAGATAATGCATCAATTTTTACTGCTGAAGCAAAAGTTATAGATTTAGCATTGTCATACATAGAACAGCATACCCATGATAAATTTGTGATATTTTCTGACTCGCTTTCTGTTTTAATATCCATTAAAAATAAAAAATCTGACAATATCATGATAAAGAAACTTCTTTTGCGATTTCATGGTATACTTAAAACAAAATCTGTTAAATTATATTGGATTCCAAGTCATGTAGGTATACGAGGAAATGAAAAAGTAGATGCTTTAGCTAAACAATCTTTAAATTTTCAAAAAAATGACTTATTGTTACCTGCTTGTGATTTTAGAACGGCTATAAATAATTTCGTTTCATCTGAATGGAAAGCAAATTGGGACAATGCCGTCTTTAATAAACTTCATGATATAAACCCATCTCTTGATGTGTCACCATCTCTGTCTTTGTCAAACCGCCATGATCAAACAGTTCTTCTTCGATGCCGAATTGGACACACTAAAGTTACCCATTCTTATCTCCTCACGAATGACAATGCCCCTTTCTGTGTAGGCTGTAATGAAAAGTTTACTGTCAAGCGTTTTCTTCTGGAATGTCATGATTTTTCACAGGCCCGTAACAGATTTTATAATGTAAACTCACTCAAAGAACTCTTTAATTCAGTTCCATCAAAAAACATCATCGATTATTTGAAAGAGATAAACTGGTATTCAAAGATCTGATTGGTTCTTTTTTTATTTTTATTTACAACGTTTTACATAATAGTTTAAGCCTATTTTAGCATTCGGCACGATATGGCCATTTATGTGTTGACGTGCCGTAAGATCCAAACAAACAAACAAACAAAAACCCCAAACGGAAGGGGGCACATCCCCTTTCTGGCAACCCCCTGATGTATTTTCTGTATAGGGTCGGCGCCGAAAAAATGTGGTAATGTGTTTTAACATTTTTTATACAAAAACAAGTATTGGTGACCTAAATAAGGCATTTTTTCACCATTTAAGACAACAAAAGTGGGGAGGGGGATGAAAAAGGCGTTAAAAGGCGTGTATACTCGTATACGGTAATGGATTAAAAGCTTATGTTATAGTTGCATAAAGTACACGTGTAGAGTGAAAACAAAATATTAGAATGTTTTAAAGTACATGTATATGATATGAACCATGTTTTAGCGATAGAAAGCAGGTCAGCGAGCTTATTTTATAGTTATCTGTCTTTGAAGTAAAACTGTTATTTCAAGGATACATTAGATTAAGGTTACCGATACCTATTTTTCTAGAATTTCAAGAATTGGTCAAAAGTAGTTTGTTTATGTTTTTTTATATAAAAATGGCATACTATATGGAATGTACAATAAACTTTTAAAAGGGGAATAAAAGTGGCGGATTGATTCCATGAACTTTTTTTTTATTTTAATGAAAGATCAAATGACAAATATCTACAAATAGAAAGAGTAAAGTATGTTAGGCTTATTTATACGTTATCAACGCTTGAAATAAACAAGCATTCCGAACACGATCTCAGTCAACCAAAACATATTTTCCATTGAAAATATTTTTGTTATTAAAAATATACATTAAAATTTTGAAAATTAACTTTGGCATTAAAGGTGAAAAAGAGGAGCAAACAAAAATATCAGAGCGCCGAACAATGATGAATTTAAGCACCAAATGTTTTTTTTACATAAATAACACCACTTTTTATTACACTTCTATGCAAAATATCTGTACCTTATAAAATTTAATCAATGAGCTACTTGTCTTTTAAACATGTGTTTTCACAAGATAAATCATAATTGGATCCAATCTTATCAACCTTTCATTGTTTACATTATCTCAGTTCAAATAAATCATATCAAATCATTTTTAACTCAACATATTCTATTGTTTCATTTCCAATTCTAAAATCACTATACACAATACATTTAATACTGAAAGAAACAAAGTAACATCAAAATGTCAGAAACATGGTCATGTGAAATAAAGAGGTCACACTACAATGTTATGCTTAATATTAATACCTTAACATGTATTAGATTTGGTTAATGCCCAGTCCTATTGAGGTTGGATAGCTCTGTATTAAAATAATTCAGTAGTGCACTCAAAGAACTACATACTTTTAATACACGTTAAGTAAATCTTATCCTTTACTTAAAATATGGACAAAGTTTTGGTTGTTATTCACACATTAACCGGTGTTAAATTATAATTGTTACCCTTAGGTACAAAAGACCAGCTCGGGATCGAAGGGTAAAAGCCGGGAAACATATGACTCACATGATGTTTTATTGATCTTACAAGTCAAGATATATTTGGAATTCAATACATTTGCAGTTACCATGTTTTCAACACTAATTTTCTATGCTCAATTCTCATGCCAAATAATTATCAAATTTGCTTCAGAATTTGTAAGGATTTGAAATTAGGACAAAAAATCATGCATTGACTTGCTGCAAAATTATCATATGTTTAAGTATTTTTCACTTCTTTTATTCATCACATACCACTAACATTCACAAATACTAGAGGTGTACTAGTCATTCTAAATTATTCTTATATAATATCGTCTTTGGTTTGATTGATTAGATTTGGAAACAGTGCCCTGTATTGACATGCTCGCCAGTATTGAAATTAGTTAACTCAGGTGTGGCTTAAAACCATTTCATGTGCAGACACTTCATGATAACCTGTATTTAACGAATATTTAACTGGTAACTATAAACGTCTGGAAAGCGGAGATCCCTCAAAAGCAATAAAACAACAATATTATATGGAATTGCAGTCTCACGCTTCATTGAAATAAATTTCTATTGACAGTGTATCAATAAATTATGCGTTCTAAAGAACGTAACATTAGTAACCTAAACAAACAAAACACCGATGCATTATAAATTTATCGAAAACGAACCTGTGCATTGTTAAGTATAATGGAAATCGTATAAATCTTTATATAAAAAAGAAATAATACGTGGCTTTATTCATTGATCGCCCTGTCTCAATGTTTTATTTTCCAGTCTACCATTGAATACTCCGGGACAATGCTGTCACAGAAGAATGACTGTCTTGATATAAATATTCTGTAATAAAAACTAGAACCAGCGCCTGACTAATTTTGAAATATTCTCAGTTGTAAACTAGCATGTTATTGTTAGGTATTTTTATCTTTTTCCGTCTCAAATTTAAACAACAAACTCTGATTAGTAATTACATCAAAAATAAATACGCTAAGATACAGTATAAACCACAAAAATTCAACCAACAATATCAACTTCACAAATCTAATCAGCATCAGAAAACAACTAAAACACACAAAATTTACAAAAATCTTCAATACAAAACATCAACTATGATAATCTTGACAAGACAAAATCACTCAATACAACTCAACCA